AAATTTTGCCTTAACCACTTTTTTTATTACATCATCATCGACCTAAAGAGTAAAAGTAGGGTTGATTAAAGTTTGTTAAAATTAATAAATAAATAAATTTGAATAATCTTTTAAAATTTAAATTTTAAATGAAATAAGTATGAATATTGTTGAACTTATCCATTTATATTCACAAACAAATTTATTTATTGTTCAAAATTTAAATATAGCTTGTATCATATATAATTATTTGAATTAAATTTAATTTGCAAGAATTTATTTAATTATGAATTTAATAGTATTATATTATTATATCAATAATATTTTTAGATTGATTATTAATCATATATTTATTTTATTAATAATTATTAACTATTTAAAAATTGACATGATGGAATTCTAAAAGGGAATATTACTTTTGTTTATTCAATTGCTTATTTATTTAGATTTGTGAAATTTATATTTTTTATATGAAAATTTATATACTTGTTTGAATATTTTGCTCCTTTAAATGTCCCTTCACTTGGTCATAAATAAATTAAGTACAAATATTACAAATTTTAAATAGGTCATGCTCGAACAATGTGTGAGAGCTCGACGCAAGCTCAAGTCGAATAAGAGTAGCTTATAATTCTATCAAAGCCAAGTCCAATTTATGATATACTCGACTTCGCACGGCCAGATTATAACCTTAATTAAAATAGAAGTGATGAAAAAAGAAGTTACGCCCAAGTTATGAAAATAAATATTTCACTTCTAAAAATTTAATAATTACTATTTTAAGTGATGTACAATCAATTCTTATGAATCTTATTTTTTATATTTTTACAAATCATATCATATCAAAGATATATGTCGAATCTGATATTATTCGTGAGATACAACTAAGTAATTGAGCTTCGTAGAGAGGAAAAAGATAAAGAAAACACAGTAATGAACATTAAAAATTCATAACGACTACCAGATAGATGACTCCTAATTATAAACATATGAGGGTACTGATACAAGATTACAGTTATGCCCTCACTTTATAAGGATAATAAGGGGTTATTTTAGTATTTCACAAATATAAGATTGATATACCTATCAATGGGTGCTTCCGTGTAGGTGGATTATACCGATTCGTGAGCTCTTCGGGCAAGCTGATCGGTCAGGCTGATGGTATTGCGATTTTTAGGGGATAACCCAGGGTCCGCTCGAACGGGTCTCTTCGTACTGGTCTAGGTGGATAATAATCGGCCGGTCAATGCTTCCGTGCGTCGCTATTGTGTCTTCACTAAACAATCAATTTTTTTCAATATTTGTGCTCGCACATTGTTTTTTATACCATATCAATAAATTAACTTTTACATACTATTTATTTATTATCTAATTAATTTATAATTCGATCTCTAATTTTTTTTTTTTATATATTTGATTCGTTTGCTTAACGAATAAATCGATGTTGAGCTGCTCGGCAAGTCGAAGATAAACTACTCACCAATGAAGAAATTTTTCTACAGCCCTACTCAATTGCAGTAAGAACTTTGATTTATGGTCAGATTCATTAGAAGTATTTTTTTTTTAATTATTTTCGAATATCTCGATATTTTTCCCAACACACAATGTTACTGACTAGTTATATTTTAGATGTAAAATTTTATAAGTGTGTAAGCTTGCTTCCAAAAAGATATCAATTTATGATTTTTCATTAGATTTAAAAATAATACAATACGTGTTATTAGAAGTTTTAAGTGTTTTCTCAAATCCCTTTGAAAGATTTACAGTACACCACTAATTCACTCAACCAAACGACTTCTTAACATCTTAGTGTTGCACGCAGATCCAACACACACATAAATAATATTAAATTAGTAGGAGGAGAAACTCAAATTTTTACATAGAATGACCTTAAAAAAAGAAGAAAAAAACTGTTTGGTCTTGCCCTGGAAAAGTACATCATTATATAATTGTAAGTACACATGTCTATTTTTCTCTTGAATTAGAGAAGATGAAATTACAAAATTGATAATTACATATGTACAACAGTAGTTCAACTAGAATATTCATAATTGGGTCACAGCAAATATAGTTGATCATGATGGTTGTAGTCGTTGACTACAATAGTTGTTGTTGTCCACAGAGCTTGTACTTGAAATTTGTAACAGTAGTAGTTAGCCACATAGGCATTAGTTGGTGACTTCAATATTGTTAGTTGGTCACATTAGTTATGGTTGGTGATTGCAATAATATATGTTGATCGTAAAGGCCGTAGTTGGAGACTGCAACATTGTTAGTTGGCCACATAAACTGTATTTCGGGGTTACAATAGTTTTAATTGCTTATAAAGGCCATAGTTGGAGAATGCAATATCGTCAGTTAGCCACAGAGGCCACAGTTGGTGACTGCAATAACATTAGTTGGCTACTAAGGACATAGTTGGAGACCACAGTATTGTCACATGGCCACATAAGTCATAGTTGGTGATTGCAATATCAACACTTGGTCACATATGCCATAGTTCGTGACTCGAATATTCTCAGTTGGCTCCGTAATTGAAGTCCATAAGAATAGTATTTAGACATATAGGTTGTAGTTAGTGTCGGGAGCCTTTTTCTTGGTGAGAACACTATTATAATTTTATACTAATACTACATTTATTACAACGTAAACAAAAATATAGGTGTTAGGAACAACCATGATAATTTGGGTTTGATGGTGATCAGAAATGGTTGGTGGTTGTTGGTCGATGACGGTCAGTGATAAAGGCAGATAGTGGTTGACAGTGGACGGTAGCTATAAAAGGTAGAAGTTATTGTCGAGTTTTCATAATGTTACAATCGTATTTAGGATATGCCATTTGGAAATAGGGGTCTTCGGTGACTACAGAGACCAAAAGTTATCGTCTGTTTATCAGTACGGTGTTATACATTAATGTCGTATTTGGGATACGACATTAGCAAGAAGGGGTTATTGACAATGATGTGGAGCAACCAATGGTGGTCTTTGGTGGAGACAGGTGATGATCGATGATTGCCGATTGCTATAGAGGACAAAAGTTATCATCATATCTTCAATATGACGTTATATGCTACAAATATATTTGGACTACGATATTAGCAAGCATAGGTTGCCGACGATGAGCAAGGGTAGTCGATGGTGGTCGACTGTGGTTGAAGGCTACAATGGTCTGAAGTTATCGATGGGTCTTCGATAGAGTGTTATACTACACAACTATATTTTGGGTATGACATTAGCAAGAAGGGGTCATCGACAATGGCGAGAAGGGTTGGTCGACGGTGGTCAATTGCAGCTGACAGGTAGTGGTCGATGGTGGTCAATGGTTATGGAGGTTGAACATTATCACTAGGTCTTTAGTCCAAAATAAATTAGAATTCCTTCTCTTCTCCTCCATTTCTCAAGTGAAGAGGGGTATATTTCTAGTATCTAGGATATGGGCATTTTGATCTCCAAGTAAATAACTTCTCCAACAACATGATTGGAGGGCCCATATTGATCCCACTTAATCATAAGGGGTTTTTAAATAGTTTGACGGCCTTAATGACCTCGAAATTAACTAATCTTTTGTTCATTCGCTCCCCATCATTGAGACACTCAATTTGACATTAAATATGTCAAATTTGGGGTTAATATGATCATTAAATTGATAATGCAAAACCTCTAAAAGTGATTTAAAGGACTGATCTGGGTTTGACTGGACTCGTATTAAACCAATTTTGATATTATTGAGTTTATTTTGTCAAGACAACCAGTTTAACCATAAGCTTATGCTAAAATTGAGGCATCAAATGATCTTCAATTTGATTTTTAAAAATTCTTCATAAATATGCATTGAGATTCGTGCTTGATAAAGATTTGTTGATGACACATAATTTATAATTAATTTTAATATTTATTATATCAATGAACTTTCAACCTCTCATTCTTTTGGTTTGATATCAGTTCCTATTTTCCAAACCTTATGTCTTCCAATGCACATTCATAATAATAATAATAATAATAATATGAGGAAACAAATTCAGTCACAATATTTGAAATAAAAATTTTGGGATGAATAATGGGATCATTTTTTTTTTGGTTGCTAATGTTTTTTTCTTTTTTGTAACTTATGGCGCGGCATCATCATTCCTTTATTATTTTTTCAAGTGATCAACAAATAACAGGGAAGATGATTTAAGTCTATATCTACTCCTGCAGAATTCAATGCCTTTTATTTAGCTATAACTTTCAATATAGCTATAAAAAAGAATATTAATTTTTAGTTACTTACATGCCGAACCAATTGCCACTAGGGCTGTCAAAAAAGCTCGTTGTTCGCAAATAATTCGTGTTTGGTTCGTCAATGAGTTCGTGCTCGATTCGTTCGATCAGTAAACGAGACGAACATGAACAAATTTTTTTTCGTTCGGTTAGTCAAACATGAACAATTTTTTTTAGTTTGGTTAGTTAAATGAACCAAACACGAATAGTGATGCGTTCGTTCGTATTTGAATTGTTATTGATCGAAATATAAAATAATTTAAAATAATTATATAAAAAAAATTATGATATTTTAAAAAATTAAATTTTATAAATTATAATATATAATAAATTAATAATAATAATAATATATTAATATACTGTATTAATAATATACTAAAATAAATATTATATATTTATATAATTTAAATTATATAATTAATATAATATATTATTTATATATATTAATATTAGGGATGTCTCGTCGTTCGCGAACAGCTGGTGTTCGGCTCGTTCGTTAAGAAACAAACACGAACAATTTCAAACATAAGCTTATTTCAAACAAACTAAATTTCAAACGAACCGAACACACATAAATTATGTTCATTCGTGTTAGGTTCGTTTACACCCCTAATTGCCATAAGTTAAGCGGTCTAATGAGATAAAAAAATCCTTAATCCTCTAGCCAACTCAATTAATAAAAAATCATTAAGCTACTCATTTCTTATTAACCATATGCTTTGAATCATACAAAGCTGCTACATTTCTCAAATAGATTCATATTTTAAATGAGGCCACCAAAGAAACTTAGGTGTCTAACAGCCAAATAATAATAATTTTACATTACATTAACTTATTGCAGAAATAAAAAACTAAGCTTACAACTTGGAATGAAAATAGTAATAAAAAAAAGCAGTATTCTCACCAAATGGCAGGGAACTGATGATCTCTCTCTACATATCTTTAGCTGGAAGTTTGTGCAATACATTCGCAGACATGTAAGGTGAAACACATCCTCGCAACTGGACAAGAAAAGGCGTTGGAGCTATTAAATTCTATCAAGAAGCTTCAGAATTTAATAGACATTTACAGTGAATAACTTAAAGTTTAATTTTTATAGATTTTAGTGCCATTAAAATCCTGGCACGATCTATGAATGAAAATGCGCTTTGTATTGGGATGAAAAAAGAATGGTGAATGGATCGTATCGGACATGCATTGAATCCTGCATGGATATGTATTCTAATGATTAAAGTGCCAAAAATAGTCCCTTAACTGCTTAACATAGGGTCATTTTAGTCCCAAAGTAAATAAAAGTTTCAATTAATAACCAGACTTTCTAAATTAGTGTTGAAATAGTTCTGTGGGAACTATTTCAGACTTATATTAAAAGAATATGGGAACAAAATTGGCATTTTTATAAATTTTGGGACTAAAAATGACACTTTTCTGATAATAAAAGCGACACTCTTCTCATTCTAATCATACAAACTAAATCAAAGTTAATGTATAAAAGCCTTGAACTATAAAAGCCTTGAACTTTGACTTTGACAAAAAAAAAAAAAGCAATTATATGAAGCTTAATGAAAATAAAAGGCGGTACCCGTTTAATAATGTGTTTCCATCATTATAAAATGATAAACAAAATCAGATCACAAACCCATAAGAAAAATGTGGTTGGCAGCTTATAATTCTCTCTAAATGTAAGATGGTATTTGCGCAATTAAACCCTTCACATGAGACGTGATAAAACAATCTCTCGAAATATTAGGTGTTGCAACTTGCATGGACAATCAAGGTTCATCAAGAAAAATAATATGCAAGGAAAAAATAAGCAAATCATCAAGAATTCCCGCATGGAGTATGAGCTCATATTGAATTCATGCTTTTGTCTTTTGAGTGGATTTGCAGTGAGCAACTAACGGCTTATTCGGGATCATTTTTTTTATTTCTAATTTTGTTTTTATTTTTAAAACATATTTATTTAGTATATATTTTACATATCTTTATGTTTTATTTAAAATAAATAAAATAACTTGTTTTTAATTTTCAAAATATCTAAAAATTATTGTAAATATTTATAAAAATAACTAAACATGTTATAGCATATCAAATGTGTATTATTTCAAGTAAAAATATAAATAAAATTATATATATATATATATATATATATATATATATATAGAAAAGGGATGCCAAACGGCCCCTCAAGTAACTAGTCAGTCTTGTAATTTTAAAATTTTTATTGACTTTATGGGTTAAATGCAGAGCAAGTTACAAAAAGTTTGTGATTCATACAATGCATGTAATTCAATTTTGAACTGCCAACAGTATCAACCTGAGTTAAAAAAAGTGTTTTAGGGGAAAAAATATTACGTACGGACAAGCTGCATTCGGATAACAGTTGCGATCCATGGAAGGAGCGGAAAGAAGGGAAAAAAATACTTCTGGTGAATCGCATTCGTTGTCCGGATGCAACTTACGTCAGGACTCCGGACGTAATATTTTCTCGTTTTAGGGATTTCTCTAGCTAGTATTGCCTATATTATTAAAGTAATTTTCTTGTTCTTTGGTCTTTTCATGTCGAGGGTAAAGCTGAATATATCATAAAATTCCAAGAGATCATTTTCCCAAATGATAAATGTCAAAACAAACCATTTTTTCTCCCTTCCCATTTCTGTGTTTTATGATCTTGTTTGTAAATTCATTTTACAGAGTGGTGATCATCAACACACCCTACAATTGAGGGTCCAAATTTTGTATTTGATGAAACATTTTTTTCTTCTGACTAAGAAATCTTAGAATTAAAGTATTATCTATATAGTTTTATTGCTAAAGAGTTCGGTTTCAAAGAATCTTTTGGTAAAATCTAGCATGCATTTATCATGATATTGAATTCACACGTCCTGTAGATCACACCCAAAGTATAGAGCGTAGGACGGATGAATGGAATAGACAGAGGGAGAGAGGAAGACTAAGAGGTAGTGCATGGCAACACAAATTTTGATAGACTAAAATTTAATCGCACTTTATTGTAGAAATGACTTCAAGGGATATCTAGTAAAATTACATGTTTGCCCCTATTTTAATAGGAACGTTACAAGTCATTATTACACTTTTTCATATTTGTAACTGACTCAGACATCCTTTAGTATTCATAACTGATATTGGCCCCGTTTCGTATTCATAACTGCTTGAAGAGGGGCATTTAATGACATGTTAGTCTTGTCATCCAGTTTTCTAAAAACATTCGGTCGGCTGAAAGGTCGTTAGTCGGTCGGCCCTCTCAAGAAAATCTTGAGGCCCTCCTATCATTATGGTTAACTTAGGTCGTCAGGCGGAGGGTGTATCATTGTAATCTGACGGGCAGCTCACCTTAGACAAGGGACACTTTTCATATGATTAGAAAGGTGTTTTGTGAGTGCCTTTCAGTCAACTTTGTGAAGAATTCTGAAATTGGCTGAGGCAGGGAGCTGGTCACGAACAACTGTCCCTCGGATTATGTGTCCTCTATTCATTCGATTCCGCTCGGTCAGTTCAGAGTTCTGACCAAAGGAAACAAAGCTTAGTGTTTTCCTTTTTTGACTATCCCAATACACTGTCCTTTGATGTTCGTAAGCGACTCGTTGGATTTCCTCGAGAATTGTGCGGTCATATTTTTGATGCACACATGAAGGGCCTAAATCCATCTATTTGATTCTTTTTTGTTTTATTTAACTCGGCATTTCACCATCTTGCATGCATTTAGATTTCTAGAGTTAAAAGAAAAATGATTATTACATTTTAGACCCTCGTGTCAATCTGAATTATGAATAATCTTTGAATGAATATGAATAAGATTTCTATCAAGCAGACTCATAATATGTTTTAACATCTATTGTCATATGAGCACCATTTAAGAGCATAAAATTACCTTGCAAGATGATGCAAGACACATTATTTAGAAATAGACACATCGAATGAAAATACAAAAATGAACCTTTGCAAGATGATTGTATGCATGCATCGACAGGGAAAGTAATTTTTATGGTCATATAGTCGCATTATATGTCCTCTAAAGCAAAAATGGTGCATGCAGATTCAAAAATCTTCTATGATTAATTATCATTATGAGAAACCAAAACGAACCAAACCAACAGATTCCACTTGCTATCAGTTTAATTATTTAGTTCAATAACGTGAATCTTTAGGAATTTATTTTTTAGATTTCAGTTTGATTTTATTTAGTTTGCTTTGGTTTTAAATAGTTCTTAATGAATTGGTTTTATTTAGTTTTGATAGATTTATTCTAGCCTGATGGATCATTTAAAATTATATGGATTTTCATGCACATCAAAGAAAGATTATGATTCTAACTAAATTAATCAGATAACTACTAGATAATGGAAATGAAATATGAAATTATAATTGTATAAATTATGCGAAATTGGTGTGATTTAGTTTATTCCAACTTTACAAAATCTAAAGCTAAATCAAACCAACTAAGTTGATTTAGACAAAATATCAAATCACAACTGGATCAGATCTAAATTAAGACTATCGATTTAGCCAGGTTAGTTCAAATTTTAGGTTTAAACCTTTTGTTGCACCTCCATAGACACAAATGGATTGAATGCTAATATAAGGTGCACGTTTTGCCACACAAATTTAATAGCCACATAAGGTGCAAGAATTGCAACGCAAATTACTCGCATATCTTAAGGATATACAGGGATGTATATGTCCATATGAGGTGAAACCTACTTGGAGGTGGATGAGAAATGCCGATGGTAAATCTCTTTGATAGCTTAATCTTGAACTAAATTACAAGTCCAACTTTGTTTGAGAAAAAATAAAACGAATATTCAAGATTGGATATAATCCTGCAACTATTAGATAAAATTAACAAATAAAAGGACTAAAGATCAAAATAGGGAAGTAATTTATATTATTTTCACTGTATAATATAAGACCAGAAAATTTATATTTACAACTTATAGCTTTGCGCTATCATTAGTAATAATTAAAAAGTTAACCAAACAGCTGAATTAATTGAAATATGAAACTCGCAAAATCAATCATTAGCCTAGTTTCTTGAATTAAATATAATCACAACCATTAAAAGTTACGAAAGTTAAATTAACTCTAAAGGAAAGAAATATGACATAGCAAAAAAAGAATAAAATGAAATAACACTAAAATAGGAAACTCATAATTCCACACACCCCCTCAAGTTGGGTCATAGATGTTGTAGAGGCCCAACTTGGTATTTAAATCAGTGAAACTATTTGGAGGTAGAGATTTAGTAAGAACATCAATGACTTGAAGATGAGTCGGAAAGCAGATTAAATGAATAATGTCTCCATTGAAATTTTCAGAGATAAAATATCTATCAATCTTAATGTGCTTGGTTCTGTCATGATGCACATGATCTTTGCATTACTAATAACGACTGTCTTTCACAGAACATCTTTATAAGATTGGCCATGGAGCATCCCAACTCACTTAGTAACCTTTGGATCCACATTCCTTCACAAATTTCAAAAGCAAGTGCCTGATACCCAAATTATGCACCACTTCTAGACACCATTGTTTGCTTCTTGGTCCTCCATGTGGCAAAATTTCACCAGATATGAACAATAACCAAAAGTGGACCTTCTATCAGTGAATTCTGCCCAACTAGCAACAATGTAAGCATCCAACTCCCTATTGTCTGATTTTTTAAATAGTAACAAGAAATCTCAATATTCAACAAATCTCCAAATATTTTCATTTGTTTTATTCATACAAAAACACAATGCTGACAAAGTAAGTGATATCAGGTCTAGTGTGTGACAGATAGATAAGGTTACCCACCAATCTCTGGTATCTACCTTTTTTCAATGGTGTCTTTTCTGCCCCTGAATGTAAATTTTTGGTTTAAATCCATAGGAGTCTCAAAATGTTTGCATCCCAGCATTCATGTCTCTTTTAGTAAGTCTACGATTCACCTTCTTTGGGATATCACAATACCTATCTTGGATTTGGGCACTTCCAAGCCCAT